TTAATTTTCACGTTACACCTGATCCTGTCCTCTGATTGGCCAGAATCGTGAAACCTGGGGTAAAATTAGTAAATGCCGATTTTATAAATAAATTCATGATTGTGTAAAAGAATTCGATAGGTGCACGTGCAGAACCAAATAAGCTCGAGATCATATGAGCGTACAAATACTTTTCAAACTGAATTCTTATAAAAAATTGTATTTTAATTATTTTAATTACTGCGGCTAATATACGAATATTGGTAACAACTATGTATTCGATTCATTTTAAAATGCGTACATGCGCATTAGGTATTCTGTATAACAAAGTTATATCATTGTGCAACAGTGCACAAGTTTGATGAACTGAACCTTATTTTTTGGCGCCAAAACACATTCAAAAGTTTTTAATAAATACTTAATAATTCTTGGTACGTATAAAAAGTCCTCAAATACGCATATGTATATACAAAAAATGAAAAATGTTAAAAAGGGTTAAGAAAGATTTCATATATATAAACCACTTATAAAATTATTCGATCCTTTTGTTTTTTAAGCACAAAAAAAAAAAAAAACCATGATACCATTTTATAATCAGTTAACTTTGCCGATCGATGTAATAATAATAATATTCATGGTTCATCCCAATTATTTTCTTTGAGAATCATCGCTTTTTCAACTATATATTTATTTTCTTTATATTTTTGATCTTCCTGAAAGGCATGAACCTTTGAAAAAAAAAGATAGATAAATAAAATTTTAAGAATAATGAATACATATAGATCATCTTGATCATTACTTACATATTTCCATCCAACAACAGTATTACATCCAACACAACTTATATCTTTGACAGTATGTACTCCAGTAATCAGTGTACGGTCTTCTTTTTGGCCAAGACAAACATTTTCACTATGGTCATAAAGTGTATTGTTATTTAAAGAGTTTCAATAAATATATACTATTTTGTGGGACTGTGATAAATGTTATATCGAAACATACACAGCGTTAAATAAGTATGCACGTCCAAGTCGGCCTTGGAATGCCTATTTGCAAAAGAAGTAGTTTGAAGTAAGTTACTGTTAATGCAAGAAAGAGAAACAAGTATCATACTTTAGAAATGAGTTCTCCGTGCTCAGCAAGGTGTGTGTGGCATTTAGAGCAGGTATATATTCGTTCACTATCTAAAAATGTCTGATAGTCCTTACTCGAAACCATCTTATTTCTTTTAAACGGGAAAATTTTACGAGGCATGAGTTAATTCTTTCAGACCTAATTACTGAAATGAAATAATTTTTATTGGCTGTACCTAATGTTACATAACTTATGTATTACGTAATTTTCTTAATTTTTATTTAATTTTTATTTATTTATGTAAACTTACTTATAAACTATACATCAAAGGTTACCAAATTCTTTAAATTCTGCAAACACGTGGTTAAATAATGAGAAAAATGTTGTGAATGTTTAAGTAATTCTGTTTGCTGCGTATCAGAACCAATTTTATCTTGTGACAAGTATCCTGTTTTGATGTTAATATTAGCTGATGCTAGGTTTATATTAATTTTCAACTCGCATAAAATCAGTACATGAGAATTTTCCTGTAAAAAGTTTTTAAATTACATATAAATGTTAAATGCTAAACAGAAATAGAAGCGAGAATAGAAACAGGAATAGGATAGAATAATAGAATAATATGGAGTCATCTTACCTCTTCAGCATATAAAAAGAATTTCCATACATCTCTTTTGTTTCCTGAAGCCATAGTAAAGATATTAGTATCCTTAAACACACCTTCAATGTCATCAAGTGTCAAAGATTTTGCAAATATAGACGTTTCCGGGAGTGATATCTCTAATGGATCACTAAATTACATTTGAACTTGTAAATCCAAGGTTGTTGTATGACTCAAACAAACACAGAGTATACATCATAAAAAATACCTATTTATGAATTTATTCCAACATGACTTGAATATATTTGCGTCTGCATCGATTGGATTCACGTTTGACAGTGTAAAGGTATCTCTATTATGCTCGCTAGCCTGGGCAGTTAATTAATACATAGTCAATAAAAAAGCTAATTACGTAAATTACGGGTTGATATGACATTACTGTATCAAATTCCAGAGTATGTGCCAGAGTATGTGACAATTGTGAATCAATCTCTTCTTGATTCTGCCAATATAAATTTGGCTCACTATCAGTTGTAAATTGTTCTGATGGCTTCTCATAAGTAATAGAAAGTGAACTGAATTCGTACAATGGACGATCCTATAATTAAAGATATAATTTGATAAAGATACGAATATTTAAACACGGAAATTGTTAAAGACATACTCACCTTTGTAGTATTGAATAAATTTTTATTAGAAATTTTTGGTGTTTCATGTCGAAAAGTGAAAATCTTCTTGACCTTTTTACAATTGATTTGAATAAAATTGGTTCAGACGATACATCACATACATGATAATCGATTGCTTAATAATCAGATTATTATATTCACCGTTTCAATATCGAATCGAAGTAGTTGATAAAGGAATAATGATCTCTCACGCACTTCTAAATTTTCCGTTGACTTCATAGTGCACTTAAATAATTTTGCCAACATATCTTTACATTCTGCGGGCCGTAACAAGAATAGAGCCACTGAAGAATTAAGTAATTGCAAACGAAAAGATGTGCCTAGATAATTTTCTATATCCTCAATCAGTGATTCTAAAATATAAGGAGTTTCTGGTAATGTATTTCCAACAGTCATTAAAAGGTTTAGGAATGCAGGTCCTGCAGGCGATGTTAGATCTACAGATGCCCAAATAGATGGCAAAACAGAGAGCAGCCCATCAAACTTGTCAGGACTTTCATTTAACAAATCTTTATTTTTTAAAAATAATAATGATAATAATAATAAATATTAAATCGAAAACAATACACATATATTTGAAATATTTGTTAAATAATACCTTCGAGTATCGTAATAATACCAGACACAATATTATCTTTGCCAGTTTCCAATAACTTTATGAAAATTTCAAGGGAATAAGTTAATATGCTTCCGATGCGTATAGCGATATTAGAGATAACTTGTATCGATTTGTTCGCAATGGCTCCGTTATCACTAGTAATATAGCAACTATATATAAATTACATATATAGTATATATAGTTAGAAATATATTATATATTTCATTAAAATCGGAAAAGTAACATATAATATCTGTCTCACCTAATTTCATCGACAATTTCTTTGGCGCTGATATCCGTAGCAATTTCTTGAAGCAATTCTAATTTCTTTAAAGTGACAAATGATGGTTCTTTTATCCTGTAATAGTTCAAATAATAAGCCATTTTTGACTATTCCATTTTTTTCAAATTTATCATTTAAATTACCTTCGATAAAATTGTTTATAATCAGATTGAAATAATTGAGGTGCTGATTTCACCAATAAGATCAAGTGTTCTAAACAAGAATATGCAATTTCCGGATTGCTTAAAGACAATATTGTCAACATAGGTTCTTTTGAAAGATTTGAATATAAATTAGGAAAAATAAACATATAATAGATTTTTTATTTTAAATTTGATCAAAAATAACTTACCTCTGATCCTTTTGTACAAATCTTCATGAATTTCTGGGATGTTGATAGTTAAATGTATAAATAATTTCATTGTAGCTAACTGTACACCACTGTTGTGATGCTTTAGCCTGTCATCCAAAAGGTTCTAAGTAAATACATTTCAACAAATACCTTAACACACAATGGTCGATATATGGTTTCCTTTTTTTTTTTTTAATATTTTAATTAAGTATAGTTATATATACCATTATATCATATACTTCATCCTCTTCACTCGGTTTATATCTAACTAGAGTATTTAATATTAAACACTGATGCCATTCATTGAAATCACGAATCCTTTGAAGTAAATACAGAGCAATCTTTTTATTAATGGTCATTCCACCTTGGGAATGTAAAATTTCATTTAAAGCCACGACGCTATTCACGACAACTTCAGAATCTCGATCCCCAAGAGTTTTATATAATTGATCAATTAAATCGGTATCTAATAAAAATATATTCAAATAGATCGTGTCATTTGAAAATATATGACATTTGGTCAATTTTGTAAGTCATAACAAATTGAAACTTACAAAGTATAATAAGAATCTACCTAACACATGCTTTGGGGAAAGATGAAATACTTTAATGCATGAAATTAAAGCTGTCTTGCGAACGTACGCGCTTGAGTCTTTCAAAGCGTAACCCAAGGATTCAAGCATGTATGGTACATACTCTGAGAGTCTTTAGAAATAAATAAATAAATAAATGCTTAATTCTATTGGATTATGTTAAAATATAGATCAGTACCTCATTGAACATAATGTACGTAATGCTAATCCTCGCACAAATGAATTTTCATCGCGAAGATCCTTTTGAAAAGTGTTGATTGCTAATATGACCAATTCTGCATTTTGTTCAGCCTGCGTTGATATATATATATAGGCCAGCTTTTTGAGAACTAGATCTTTTGTGGAAGCTACCTTTCTCAAATAATATGGAATAAAATTAGCCGTCGATAATAATAATAATAATAATTTAAGTGCAATTATTCACCTTGACAACATTGCCAAATAAAGACGACACGTCTATTCCTGCGGTCATCGCTTCCAGTATTTTTTTAACAACTGGACGTTTGGCAGATAATGGTAATCCCGAAGGGCTCGTTGTTACATTGTCGCTAGCTTCCTGTAACAGTTGACTTAATTCTATGATCTCTCTGCTTTGCTGATTTTCTAAAAATGATACTTTCTCGGTGGCCATTTTCTCAACTGATGCGTTAAAAAAAAAAAAAAAAAAACGGGGTTTTTTACAATTGTCACGTTATATGCAAATTATCCCGGAATGGTTTCACGAGTGTTAAGGGAATAATATTTAAAAATTCCAAAGCCGGGTAACAAATCCGATCTGTTTGGTATAGTATGTAGATGTTTAATAAGTGGATGCCTGGCTAAAGAATTAGTGAGGTTAGGGTTATGGTGAGTATAGATTAAGCCGGATAATTAACTCACTTAAGAATTTCAAAGCCGGTTTTGAATCAGGACAAATTCCAATCCGGAGTACAACATATTCATTATCACAATTAAAATACAATAACAAATGCACTACAGACAATGCTAGAGTCGTTATTCATATCTATCGATCGAAACTTAAAAGATCGGTGAAAATTGTAACGAATTTATTAGTTATTTGTTATATCTAGAAATGCTGGTGAAATTAATTTCACCAATTCAACACCAATTTTATCAATAGTGGTGAAATTATTTCACCACTCTGGTTTAATTTCACCAACATTTTAGTTATATCCAGGGCTATTATATATTAGCTATATTAAATTTATAAAAATTGCTTTATTCCTAACAACAGTGGTGTACATGTCACCGAAAATATGGTTTATCGAAAAAGGTTGGAATACTTTTTAATATTTTTTACATGCTAGGATAAAGGCCAATAAACTTGCAACTGGTTGTAAGAAAGCATTATTTAT